ACCGAAGTATTCCATTTTCATATTTCATCTAATACAGATAATAAATATTGGTATGTGCAAAATTTGAAGGAAATCAAACATTCGTTTCAATCTTATGCGAAATCATAAATTCCGTCAAATTACATATTCATATCAGAATACTGGTTAAGAGAAATATTTAGATATAGCAAGTTGTAAAAAATCGCCGACTTGTTTCGCAAGTTATGCCAGATGTATTTATTTCGGATTCTTTGCTCGTTTTGGTTATTCAAAACTTAGACCCTTTGTGTGGGAGGTACTAGAAGGAATGGTTCAATCTCTAGCATCTTTATAGAAGATCTTGTGTTTATGAAAATATTGAGATGTGCCAAGTCTGAATGGAATCGGATGTTAATTTAGTGTTTTAAGAGCTTAATGGATATTCAAAATTTCGACTTTTGTGGGGTGGAGGTACGTAATGGAGTGGACCGATATTACCCATTTTTGCACCTGACCTAGAACTGACGTAAATATTAGGAGTTGCGAAGTAAGAACAAAATCGGATTATCGATTCCCTTCCTGTGCAGAATTTTTTTTTTTTTTTTAAAATGTCAACCATTTGTGGGTGAGGTACCCAAAGGAGTGGACCGATATATCCCATCTTAACACCAGACCTTAGGTAAATATAAATATTGAGATATGTGAAATTTGAAGACAATCGGACTCTTACATCACATTTTATGAGAGTTGTAATAATTCAAAATTTTGACCACTTGTGGGCGAGGTACTTGATGGAGTGGACCGATGTACCCAGTTTGGACAAAATCTGATACTCCCTTCGAGAGATATCGTGCGCACCAGCCAGCCAGACAGACGTACGGACGGACGGACATCGCTAGATCGACTCCAAATGTTCTGAAACGGATTTGGTCCAAAGAGACCTAGTGTCTAAAACCGTTATTAAAATTATTACAAAATATCGAGTAAGTAGATAAACTGTTTATCTCCAATATATCTCATTTTATTACTGATTTAAATGCGAATTTTTACACTACATGGCGTTTCCAGAGTGTACCAAAATATGATGAATATCTCATATATTTTTCACTACATCATTATTTGAATATGTTCATTTGTTTGTTAACGGTTTTTTGTGTGGCTTTATTATTATATTTTTTTTTGTTTTGCTTCATGCTTTAGTCTGTATGTGATATGCTGTTATTTTTAAAGAAACAAGTACATTTCTTGCTGTTCTTTTGTATAAACCATATATCTCAACAGCAAACAGAATTTCGTCTTTTACAAATGGCTTTAGATTTATTTTATGTAAGGCTCATGTTATTTCAATCAATTTAACTTGTATTTGACATTGACATAGCATTTTTCTCTTGTTTTTTTTTTTTTAAATATTTTTCGTACAGCCTTCAGTAACAATGTCGATTACATGACATAAAATTAGGATATTTGTTTTTGAGAAATTATTTTGTATTGTGGTTTAGAGAGCTGCTGTTGATACTACTCAACATAACATGGGTTGGAGGAAGGAAGGACATGTTGCTATCGTCTCTAAAGACATACATGCGTTAATTTTAAAAAGATATATTCTATGTCGGATACAGATATTGTTTGTAGGGGCCTTCACAATTGTTTGGAGTTCTTTAAAATTTATACATTTTTTGGTTCGAGCAAATTAGATGTAATTTGATATCTCTTCAAATATTATGTTATATATGCATGTTCCAATCTCGCCAAGCCGAGCCGATCAAGCTATGTGTGACCGTCTCCATATTAATTTCTTTTCACGATACAGGTCGCAATTTTGGCCCAATTATCACGAAAATCGGTGTGTGGTTAGGGGTAAGTTTAGAAAAGAAGCCTATTTTCTGGGGGAGATAATCGCAAGATATTTAGGGGTATAACTGGACCAACATCAGAAAAATATCCTAATTTTGCAGTTGCTCTACAGGTCACAATTAATACCAGTCCACGCAGAATTGGGTAAGATTTTAGGGTGGGTCAAAAGTCTACCAATTAGGATGGTCATCGGATAATTCTTAGGGACTGAAATAGACTATAACTTTAATGTAAAAAATACTAAAATATTTTTTAATCCGCGATCACTTCTGAGCTGCATCCGAAAATGTCGAACATACAGGGTAAGATAAAAAACTGCAACAAAGTCAAACACCATAATTTTTACATTTTTTTTTTTTTAATTTTTTTGAATGAAAGCAAAAAAATTCGGAAATAGCATCAAATTTTAGAATAAGTTTAGATTTGTTCGTATTGGTCACCTTTGGCACGAATTATGGACTTCAAACGCCCATTCAAACTGTCACATGCTAACCGAATGTTGCTCTGCGATATTTTGGCCCATTCCGGTGAAGCGCTTGCTTGAGGTGATCGACACTTTATTTTTTTTTAGTGCCAACCTTGCTTTCCAAAACACTCCAGACACAGTAGTCCAACGGATTGGTATACAGAGATTTTGGTGGCCATTGTGCGCTGGAAAAGAAGCGAGGAACCTCATTTTGTAACCATTCTTGGGTGGCGCGTGCTGAGTGCGATGTTGTTGAGTCCTGCTGGAATGTCCAAGGTCTGCGGCTAAATGTTTGCGTGCCCAAGGCTTTAATACACCCTCCAGAATATTTTCGCGATAATATTCGCCATTTATTCTGATGCCACGCTCGATTAATACGAGCGGAGAGCGACCATCGACTGTTATGGCGGCCCACACCATCACCATGGCCAGAGCGTGAGGTCACATATTCAGCTGACCTCTTTGGCAAGTTTACACTATCATTTGGTTTGTTTAAAAACTGCTAGACAACGAATTTTTTCTCATCGGAGAAAACCACATTCGGTTGTTCACCACTTTGTACTACAGAGTAAGACAGGAAATTGTCTGTGCAGGTCCACGTCTTCTTTTAGCCCCATATAACGGTACCTCCAGATATTTGGTATTTTGATGATTTTATCGACATTATTCACCGGAATTGTTTCAAATTTTGTATTTGAAGTTCGTATAAATATTACAGCCTTTGATAGAAAATTGTCTGTGCATGTCCACATATTCGTATGGATCCCAAAATAACGGTAACTCCCTATATTTGGTTTATTTAAGATTCTTACAGAATTTTTGACGGATTTACTTTTTTTTGAAAATTACCTAATTCGCTCCAAATGGTGGAGGGTATGTAAACATCGACCTGGCCGAGCTTACTGTTTATTTTTAACTTATTTATGATACATATGAAGTTTGGACATTTTTTCGCTCAAAGCCTTATAATCAAATTCCATTTTGAATTTTTTGAAAATTAAAACTATTAATTAAAACTATTATTATAGTGAAATTTAGTGAAGTTTTATGTTACACACATGTATTGCAAGATTTTTCAAAAAATCGACTTATATGGGTTTGGACAAAATGGTGTTTTATTGTTGTTGGGTATCACACGCACGACAGTAGGCTAAATCCTGCGAACGCCGACGAACCTGTGATTAATGGTCCACGGAAACACTGGCCAATCTTCAGTTCGCCCTCTATGTTATTGTGCTGGTGATGTAATATCCAACAATTTAAGTTTGGTGCAAAATGTGAAACGTGAGTGAGCTATTTAAACCAGTGTTGTTGAAAATATAATACCTAAAAAATCCAGACAAAAATATCTACACCAAATTCACAAAAAAATATTTTCTCTTGTCAATTTAGAGAGAGATGTAAACTTAAGCTACCGATATTCGCGTCTTCTAATATTAGCTTTAACTGATAATATACCAAGTTCTTCCTATAATTTATTATTTTTTTTTTTTTTTTTTTGCCCAATATACTGTCAAAATGGCATTTATTTCTGCTTATTACCCAGTTTATCAACCACATTCTTTGTAAAATATATCAATCTAGGAAACAATTGAAATATCATAACAATGTGATATATAAGATAAATGGAATATTTCACACTTTCACTGTAAACGATTGTCGAGTTTAATTGGTATCTTGCCATAAAGCTTCAAGTAATTTGTTCCTAAACACATTTGTTTAGATAAATTATGAAAGCCAGAACAAATTAGTGATATCAATTATCTATTGTATTACAAATTGCAAATAATTGTTAAATAAACAATTGTTAGTGTTATGTTTAAGCAAAAGTGAGGATGATATCGAAATGAACATCTATTATATTGATTATGCTGTAACACAGTTAGGGGAGTCTATGAAAGAAAGAGAAATTTAGAAGTACTGCAGTGGTTGATTCACATTAACGTACGTATTAAACAAATAAAGACACTTAGATTTTTGCAAATGTTCACTAATATGTTAAAAAAGCTATAAAACATACTGAATTTCGGGCCAAATGCATCCAGTGAAATATATTAACAATGATATGTTTTATCTTTAAACCTCAGGTCGTACTGATACATTTGATATATATCATTTGGTGTGTATGATTAAATTTGATCCAAACCTAGCACGTTGTAATATATTTGTGAAACTTAGATTAGCAACAGCAAAAAAATATAAGTAAACCTTTTAAAGAAAGCGAATGGAGTATTAAGATTACTTAGCACATTATAAAACAGGCTTAGCTTCGATTTAAATATTGTAACTTCCATACAAAGAAAATTATTAATTTTTATACCCTGCCCCACATAGTGGTAAGGCTATTATGTCTTTGTGAATTTTTGTAACATGGAGAAGAAAGCGAGATAGACCCATAATTGCTTTTAACGATCATCAAAAATTTAAATTATCCCACACTATGTGGTGTAGGGTGTAGAACTGAGCGACAGAGCCAGGGCAAATAAGTTTTCAAACTAAGAATACAATGTTTAATTAATACAAAAAAAAAAAAAAAAAAAAACCTAAAACGCACAATTAAGCTTTAATACGTCAGTTTACGGGTTAACTGTAACTAAAGCAGCTTGGAGGTGGGGTCCAGGCATTCGGACGAAAATTTTTGAGATGTACGTTCAAAGTGTGGATCCACCTTGGGGTAGCTACTTTTTGGGGTTGATGTGGCATTGTGAGATTAGTTGCTGGTTTAATTGATATTCAATTGTCTGAAGGTGCCCTCCATGTCGAAGAGATTATCACTGGTCTTGGGTGAGCCGAGACGTAGGGACTCATTGGATTTCTTGGATTCTTGTTCCTTGAACCAGGGAGTGTAATCGGTCAACTTGGCATTCCATTGGCTAATAAAATCGTTAATCTTACCAGCCATGCCACCATATTCTTCGGGCAAGATATCCTTTGGCACGCTCTTGTACAGGCTTTCCAAGTCAGGATGGAAGTGGACACGGCTGAGCAACTTCTCCTTGACGAAGGGCTTGATGAATTTGAAGATGGTATCTACTAAGGGTGAGGTATTGAAGAAACGGACTTCCTTGACCTTAACGGGATAGGCTTCTTGAACACAAATGAAGAACTTCTTAATGACGTTAGGCGAGAATTTGGCAAAATGAGAGGTGGTGGCAATGGCAGCATCCAAAACGAAAATATCACTGGCAATGCCGACACACTCTTCGGCCAGACGAACATCGCCCAACATCATGGTGACCTTCATGGCATCGTTGAATTGGCTGGCTTGGAAATCACAATCGACACCGCAAATGAAATTGATGCGGCGGCCATTGGAAGTCAGAGTGATCACCGGGCAGAGTGTTAATTTGTCTAAAAGGATACAAAAAAGGATTAACATTTCCGTATGATCAAATGACGGACTATTAAACTTACGCATATTCCAAGACCAGATTCAATTCTTCACGGGCAATATCACGTTCACTAAAGAACTCCGGAATGGCAGTACGCATGCTATAGTACATGTCCAACTTCTTCTTGACCTTTTCCAAAATGAATTTGTAGCCTCGCAAGAAATTGGTTAGACGAACATCGTCCATGTCCTTGGGCAAATGGGGTTGGCTGTCGAGCCATTCACGGATCAATTTAATGTCACTTTCAACTTCTTCTTGGTTTTCGGGTTCACGCAATTCTTCGCGAATGCTGACGCATTCTTCGGGTGTGGGCTTGGTGAGCATCATCTGAAACGAGAGGGGGAAAACGGAGAGTTAGTTTAAGGAACACATGACTTATAAATAAAATGTTTGTATTGACAAAGGAATGTGAAGTGAGAGAGAGAGTTGCATCATTGAGTCTGCTCAATGCTCTTTTGATCCAATCGAAAGGGGGTAACCCTTTCCTGGGGGTAAAAACCGGATGTTTTATTAATTTAAATATTAAATTAGAGTCTACTCGTTATTATGGATTTAATAGGTATGCATTGGCCAAAAACATTAAGACATGCATTGTACACTTTTTCAAAAAATCGACTAATATGGTTTGGACCAAATGGTGTTTTCAGTATATTTGAGTGCTGTTGGGTATCATATGGTCGGCCCGGCACGACAATAGCCTAACTCCTGTAAGTTTGGTCCAAAATTTAGTCAGCTCGAATATGCGCTTTAGTGAGTCGGTTAATTGAGCATAAATTTTGTACCTTCCATACAAAGAAAATTATTAATTGTTATACCCTGCACCACATAGTGGTAGGAGTATTATGTCTTTGTGAATTAATTTGTAACATGAAAAAGTAAGCGTGATAGACCCATAGCTGCTTTTGAGGATCTTCAATAAATGGAATTATGCTACAGTATGGTGTGTAGGGTATAAAAAGTGGAATTCTCCCTTTCCTGGGGGTAAAAAAGGTTGTTTTAAAGATTTAAATGATGTTCGGATTGTAGGCGACTAGAAATTAATCGGAAACTCTGATGAAAAGACGTCAGGCGTCCGGGTATTACGATGATAAGGTTCTGGTTGCAGACGATTTCACTGTTCGAGTTGTAGACGATACCGCTGTTGGGGTATAATCGGGAACTTCGTTCGGGATCACGATGATGCTCGGGCTGTATATGATTCCGCTGATCTGGTTATGAAAAGTGATCGGCTCACAGATGTTCGGGTCGTGTACGAGGGGTGGATGATTGTAATCTCGTTAGTTAATCGGACTATCAGAGGTTAGTTAATCGGACTATTCTACCTAGTCTACGGTTATTCTAGATTTCAGTTGGGAACCGTGATCCCGAAAAGTGATCGGCTCACAGATTTTCGGGTCGTGTACGAGGAGTGGATGATCGTTATCTTGTATCAGCGTTCAGAGGTTAGTTAATCGGGCTATTCTACCGTCTACGGTTATTCTAGATTTCGGTTGAGAACCGTGATCCCGAAGCTCTAGTGGGGACAGTGACCACAATCTCATGTAAGAACTGTGGGCCCAAAACTCCAGTTAGAACTGCAAGCCCGAGGCTATAGTAACAGTGTCTTCATAGTCACTCAAATTAATGAGTCGACCAAAAAGACCTTCCCACTTAACAGTTCCTGTTAGTAGGAGGACAGTAAATAATTTCAAATCCACCATGTACCCTTTAGATAAGCCTCCCTCAGTAGCGAATTTCAACCGTCAGCCAAAAACAAAATTATAAATTTATCCGCCATAGTAAAGTTAATGAGAATTATTCATCATGTGCTGTAAGGGTGATAATGACAAAAAAGCGACGTTACGCTGCGTAAGCACTGCTTATGGTGGTTGAATTCTCCGTCGGTCTATTCCGTTGCTGTTGGTGCTGTGGGCTGTGTGTTGCTATTGTTGTTAGATTGCAGTGTGGTGTAGTTTGTTGTGACTGCTATTGAGTGTTGTTAGTTCTGGTTGGTATTGAGTGGTAGTTGTTGCTATTGTCGGTGGGTGGTCGCTTCAGTCACGTTACATAAGTCGTGTCCGATTTCCTTAAATTTCTCACATCTCAATATTTCTGCCAATATAAGATCTGGTGTCAGAATGGCGGATACCACCCCCACACAATTTTACAGATTCCAAATGAAAAACTAAGTCCAAACCTTATTATGAGAGTATACATTTCTTGGTAGACAGACTAATATTTTCTACCTTGCTAATTTTGAAAAAAAAAAAAAAATAAATAAACTAATTTGGACAAAGTTTATTTAAATTGTTCTAACTTGCTATAAATATATATATTCCCTACACCTAATCTCTGCTAAACATTTAATCATCATTTGCCTGTCAGCCTTGAAGAATATTTCATAAATTGTATTTTTATATGACAAACTGTCACCATTCCAGTAGCAGATTTGTCCTTTTTTTATTTATTTATTTTGTGCGAAATTCCGAAATGTGTAGATGTGAAATATTTTCGTGCTTTTGTTTTATTTTTTTTTAACAAAAATACTCAGAAGCTATTTCAACGCCCTTTGTAAAAACAGTTGAGTAATGTTCTATGTAACATTTGTAAAACAATACTAAGTATAATTAATTACAGCATTTATCACAAGGACAAGCTAGCAAGCAAGAAAAAAAGAAAAATGAAATGACAGCAAAAAGGGATAAACGACAAAAAGACACCAAAAAGAAATATGATCATGTATTCCATTACGCATCGTGGAAAAAAAGGAAATGAAAAAAAAAAAAATAGCATAAATAAGATATTTAAGAGATTTTTTATTAAAATGTTTAATACACCATAATTAGGTATATAAGAACTTTTGATATCAAAACACCAAACAAATCTTTTTAGTCACATTTACAGGGTGAGATGAGAAAACTGCAACCTACTTCAGACTGCTGTCATTTCTAAGCCACTCGTACGACAGCTTTTAAAATTATTCCAGTGACAGTCAATTATATGGTTTACAAGAGTACACAAGCATTTCGGTGAGTATTTTCGATAAAAAAGGTATTCGTGATGGAATTCAAGCGTTTCTTTATATTTGGCTGGAAAACCGCAAGTGGCTATCGTTAGAGCACTACAGCATTTAAATGTGAATAAATCTTTTGTGTTTCGAGCCATCGCTCGGTACCGTGATACTGGTAACGTAGTAACGACATCAAGGAAGTTGATGGAAGTTAACAGCAACATCAGCAGAAATGGTTCGAAAAGTAGAGAAGTGACTTGATCGAAACCCACGTCGCAGCTGCAGAAAAATGGCTCGTGAGCTGAACACATCGCAATATATCATTCGGAAAATATTGAAAAATGAGCTTGGGGTAAAGCCATTGAACTTACACCGCAACAGAAACAGAAACATTCGTTGTCTAGCAGTTTGTAAACAAACACAAGTTAAAAAGCAGTAAGTTCGGCCTGGCCGAACTTTTAATACCCTCCGCCATTTGCAACGAATTTGGAAATTTTCAAAAAAAAAAAAAAAATCCTTAAAAAATTCTGTTAAAATTTTAAAAATACCGAATACAGCCGTTATATTGGGGTCTATACGACGTGGACATATATATGCATTGTTTGTCAGAAGCCATTACCATATTCAAATTCGAAACTGGACCCGCACCGACAATTTTCTGTCACAGACTGTAGTTCCCATAACGAACTTCAAATACCAAATTTTAAACAGTTCCGGTTAATAATGTCGCTAAAATCATCAAAATACCGAACATAGCGAGGTGCCGTTATATAGGGGCTAAACGGAGACGTGGACCTGCACACACAATTTTCAGTCTTAGGGTGTAGTATCCATTTGGAACTTCAAATACCAAATTTGAAACAATTCCGGTGAATAACGTCGTTAAAGTCATCAAAATACCGAATATAGGGAGGTACCGTTATATTGGGGCTATACGAAGACGTGGACCTGCAAAGACAATTTTCTGTCTTAGGGTGTAGTATCCATTTGGAACTTCAAATACCAGATTTGAAACAATTCCCGTGAATAATGTCGCTAAAATCACCAAAATACCGAATATCGGGAGGTACCGTTATATGGGGGCTATACGAAGACATAGACTTGCACAGACAATTTTCTATCTTAGGGTGTAGTATACAATTCCGGTGAATAACGTCGCTAAAATCATCAAAATACCGAATATAGGGGGTTACCGTTATATGGTAGCTATATGAAAACGTGGACCTACATGGCCCATTTACGAACTTAACCTGCCTACTGGAAAAATAAACATGTGTGCAAAATTTTAGCCATCTATCTCAATTCATTCGAAAGATAGCGTGATTACAACAGACAGACAGACAGACGGACATCGCTAAATCGACTTAGAATTGTACGCTGATCAAGAATATATATACTTTGTTGGGTCTGACATGAGTATTTCGAGGAGTTACAATCGGAATGACAAAGTTAATATACCCTCCATAGTAAGGTGGAGGGTATAAAAATTATCGTGTTTACTTGCCAAAGAGGTCAGCTGAAAATGTGCAACATCGGTTGGCCGCCAGAACTCAATTGCCGGCAATGGTGATGGTGTGGGCCCCCATAGCAGCCGATGGTCGCTCTCCGCTCGTAATAATCGACCGTGGCATCAGAATAAATACCGAAAATGTTCGCGAAAGTATACTCGAGTGTGTATTAACACCTTGGGCACGCAAACCTTGGACATTCCAACAGGACTCAGCACCTTCGCACTAAGCACGCGCCACCAAGAATTCCTCTGGCATCAGAATAAATACCGAAAATGTTCGCGAAAGTATACTCGAGTGTGTATTAACACCTTGGGCACGCAAACCTTGGACATTCCAACAGGACTCAGCACCTTCGCACTAAGCACGCGCCACCAAGAATTCCTCTATTCTTTTCAGCGCACATTGGCCACCAAAATCTCCGGATACCAATCTGTTGGACTATTGTGTCTGGAGTATTTTGGAAAGCAAGCCTGGCACTACCAAAGCGTCGATCAACTCAAGCTAGCGTTTCGCCGGGAATGGGTCAAAATATCGTACGGCAACATTCGGGCAGCGTGTGACGATTTCATTGGCCGTTTGAAGGCCATAATTCCATAATTTCGAACAAATCTACACTAATTCTAAAATTTGATACTATTTGCGAAATTGTTTGCGATCATTCATTAAAATGTAAAAATTTAAAAATTAAAAAAAAAAAAAAATATTGAAAATTATGGCATTTGACTATGTTGCAGTTTTTTTAAAATCTCACCCTGCATATAAAATATCACGTTCATCACGGCATTATATGGGACTAAGGGAACGTGTATTGGCATAGTCCATTTACG